GACCTACCCCGATGCAGCCCTGGGTGCTGGAGCAGCTGTGTGGAGACCCCTGCCAGCGCTGCGATGCTTACATGTTCTCTGATTCGGCTCTCCTCCTGCATTCCAAGTCATCACGTGTGTTTTGTGAGATGGAGGAGGGCTTTGTAGATTGGTGTAGGACATATGGGCTAATGTTGAATTTATGGACTTGGACAGCACTGGGTTGGGATGCTTTCTGAATGTACACTTAACCCTTTATATAAAACTATCCCTTATATACATATGAGTTTCTGTGGATTTGTTTCTCTAGTCTACCCAGACTAACACAGATACAAACGAGGAGACCCAAAAGACTATCTGTAAACAATTGGCCATCCCCTCACCGAAGGGTCACAAGGAAGGGATGAGTCAGCCAGGGTGTAGTATAGCACCAAGGAAACACACAACATTCCTCTAGTTCAGTGGTTCTCAACCTTCCTAATGCTGCGACCCTTTAATATGGTTCCTCATGTTGTGGTGACCCCCCAGCCCACACCATGAAATTATTTTCGTTGCTACTTCATAACTGCAATTTTGCTACTGTTATGAATCAGGAGACCCCTGTGAAAGGGTCGTTCGACCCCCAAAGGGTCGCGACCCACAGTTTGAGAACCACTGCTCTAGTTCTTTAATGCTTCCTCTTCCCATTATCATGACCCTAGTTCTACCTTACAAATTCGGCGAGACTGGAGTATGTACATTGGTACAATAATAGTTCTTGACACACGAAATCCAGGAAGACACCTCAGGAGCAGTAATGGGAGCAGCAACACCATGAGGGTAGAGGGAAGGTGGGGGGGAAAGGGGAAGGAGGAACCGATCACAATGATTGACGTATAATGACACCCCCCCACCCCCCCGCCCAACCAGGGGGGACAAACAGAAACAGAGGTGAAGGGAGACAACAGTGTAAGATATGAAAACAATAATAATATATCATTTATCAATGGGTCACGAGGGTGGGGTGGGGGCAGGGAGGGAGGGGAAACAAAGGAGCTGCTACCAGGGGCTCAAGAAGAAAGAAAATGCTTTGAAAATGACAATGGTAACATATGCAGAAATGTGACTGATACAACTGATGTATGGATTGTATAAGAGCTGTAAGAGCCCGCCAATAAAATGATTAAAAAAAATAAAAAACAATTTTTTAAAAGTGTGAAAGAGCACATAATTTAAAATCTAAATTTTTGTTAGATTGGATTCTCAAGAGAAGCATAGTCAGTGACTCATATGTGGATATTTATATAAAGAAAATGGCTCACATAGTTGTAGAAGTGGGCACATTCAGTCCAAGTCTAGGTGGGTTCCAAGTCCTTGTAGTGGATGTCCTCCTGACTCAACGAGCTTAATGGGCTGATGAACCCAAGACAGTCAGGAAGACCAGGCTTCAGGAGGCTGAGGTGGATGAATCCAAGGTCAGTAGGTCAGGCTGGTGACTGGAGAGGCAAATGAGTCCACCGTTGGCAGGCCAGATGGCAGGCCACTGTGGCTCCCAGGTCAGCAGGCATTATAGCAAGCTATTGGTTCAAATCCAGAAACAGGAAGTCAAGGAGCCAGATGCAGGATACAGACACAGTACAAAGTAAACAGGCTTTCGATAGTATCAATTTATATAAGAAGTATGTCATACTCTCCGGAAAAAAAACAAACAAAACTCCTTTCAATTGCTTCAGGATTGCAACCTGAGTAACAGGGTTACATTCATTCCACCCCAATCTTCTTATAATAGATTGGCTGCTCACAGCAGATTCCATTATGGAGTTGATTACATTTGAGTTTGGACACATTGTGGAGGATGAAGAGGCCTTACATGTCAAACTACTGAGAATCCTGGTCTTGCCAAGTTGGCATAAAAACCTAACTACCACAAATTTCAACAAAAACGGACCAGAATATTATTTTTTAAAAACTGCTTGTATATCTTAAAACTTGGCCAATAAAATATTTCAGAGTAAAAGGCTCAAGGCAGAAGTAAAGCATTAGGCTTAGAATCAAATTTTCATTCTGCCAATAAAATGATTACAAATAAAAGTATTTAACTTGACTGCATGACAAAGTACTGGTACTCCTCAGGAACTTGTTAGGAGGAGCCCAGGGGCAGGGGTTTATACCTGAGGCTGCTAACCACAAGGTTAGCACTTTGAAACCACCACCGGCTCTGCTGCAAAAAGATGAGCTTTTGTACTCCTGTAAGGAGTGGAAACCCGCTGGGGCCGGTCCACCCTATCCTATACGAATCCACTTGGTGACTGTGAGTTTTGTTGTTGTTTGGTCAGAACTTAGAGTGTAATGTTCAGCATGATCCTGTACATGGTAGGATGATAACAACTTTGTACTTTTTTTACAAAAATGTCCTCCATAAACTTAAAACTGCTTAAAAAGGGCTGTTCATGAAAAGAAACAAATAGTAATTACCTAAAAATGCAAGAAGCTCCTCTGTCCCAGAGTCTCATCACCCGCATTAATTCTTACACATAAAAGTGAACGCATCTTCTAAAGGTATTATCGTGTCAGAAGATGCTACCAGAAGATGCATATTTAAAGCAATAAAAAGGTAAAAACGGACTTAGAGTTTATCTACGGATAGGAATGGAGACGGTAGAGAGCTGGTTTGAAAAGCAAAAAGTCATAAAAATAAAACAGACACACCAACCAACGGTCCGCTGGCAGCACCACTCTCAAAAGACCCTGCAAGTCTCTCCCAAACCGCGCGGTTTTCCCTGCAGCCTCTGGAGGGCTCGTCCGTGGGATAACCCCCGACGGACGCGAAAGCAGCCCGCCCGGCGCCTCTCGGCCCGGCCAAAACGAAAGGAGCCGCGAGGACCGGGGCCACGGCAGCGGGTGCTCCCTGCGTGCACAGGCTCCGGGCACCGCAGCCTCCCGGTCCCGGGCTCCGGACACACCCAGCAGGTGCCAGCGCCTGGGCAGCCTTACCTGCTCGAGCTCCCGGAACTCCGCGGAGCCGACAGCAGCAACTTCCGGCGCGCGCGAGGAAACCAGGCCTTCCCCGCGTCGCGCGCCCGCCCCTCCGCCCTGCGCTCCGCCCACGCCTCGCCCTCGTCCCGCCCCGCCCCGCCCATTTCCCCCGCCTCCTTCGCCTTGGCCTTGCTTTGCCGCAGGCCAGCGCTCAATACCTGGACCAGAACTCAATAACCGGCGTAGAAGTATTGATTCATCTGCTTAAACTACACTTATTATCTGTTCCAAATATGTGTCTGCCTGTTAAAACCTTTGCGTGGTTCCTTAAAGGGTGTGTGGAGCCGGAATGACTGGTGGGCAGCAGATGGCAAAGGCAGGGCTCAGATCCTCCCCAGACTCACTTCAGAGAGCCTTCCTGTCCACATGCGCACCAGAACAAGCCCAGGTGGCTCAGCCCCAGAGGGGTAGCTAAGGAAAATAAGACCTGTGGCAGGCATTTAATTGTACCCCAGTCCAGACATCTCACACCTATCTTCTGGGTAACCTTTTTTGGGGGGTAACCTTACCATAATCCAAAACCAAAGCCAAGCTCACTGCCATCAAGTCAGTTCTGACTCATATTGACCCATAGGACAAAGTGGAACTGACTCTATGGGTCTCGGAGACCAGCTTTTTGCTGGAGTCAAAACCCTCATCTTTGTCTCCATGAAGCAGATGGTGTTTTAAAGCTCCTGCCCTCAATGCGATGGGTTGACACAGTCACTGCAGCAATAGGCGCCAATATAAGAACAATTGTGAGGATGGTGCAGGACCTGGCAGTGTTTGGTTATGTTGTATGCAGGGTCACTGTGAGTCAGAACGGACTCAGTGACATCTAACCGTACCAATAACAACTGAAATGTATAGCCCATTTGCCAGTAAAGCTTTGGTATTTCAGAGTTGTGACCCGTGGTCTTCTCAAAATTCTGACAATATGTGATATTTATCATTTAAGAGCATGTTATTAGGTAGATACAAATTTAGAATTACTATCTCCTCTTATAACCATGGTGGTGTAGTGATTATGTATTTTACCTGTATGTATTTTATTTGTATGTATTTTATCTGTTAAAAGAAAAACAACTCCTGACCTGTGGTTAGCAGCAATGGGTAAAATCCACTATACTGCCAGAGCTCCCCGGTACCATAACAAGAGCTCAAAAATATAATCCAAACTCGACTTTGACACAACATAGCACTACCTGAATATTACAACTGCACCTACCTGCTTTTCCCTGCTTTCACTGATGAAAACTGGTCTATGCTGTGCTCAATGTCATTCCATCCAGCCTTCTTTTTCGTTCTCTTCTACACTCAGCAGAGCAAGATGATGCAGTCTGCCTTGACTCAAAACCTTCCCTCAACCCCCACCACACAAAGCTGCTGCCACCAACTGGATTCCAACTTAGAGAGCAGAGCTGCTCCATAGTGATTGGGACACCACTCGGGGCAGAGAATCTCATCTTAGACACTCCCCACCCACTGCCAAAAAGACGGGTGGCTTTGATCGACCAACCTTAGAGTCCAACCCTAACTTCATGCCTTAACCTTGCTTTTTGGTGCCCTCAACTTGGTTCCAACTCATTGCTACCCCATGTACAACAGAGCAAAAACGCTGCCTTGTCCTGTGCCATCCTTAAAATTGTTCTTATGTTTGAGCCACTGTGTCAACTCATTTTGTCCAGTCTTCCTTTTTTTTTTGGCCACCCCTCTACTTTGCCATGCATGATGGCCTTTCTAAGAACTGGTCTTTCTTGACAACTTTTCCAAAGCATGTAAGATGAAGTTTCACCATCCTTGCCTCTAAGGAATACTCTGGCTATACTTCTTCCAAGACAGATTTGTTTGTTCTTTTGGCAGTCCATGGTATTTTCAATATTCTTTGCCAGCACCACAATTCAAATACATCAATTCTTCTTTGGTCTGCCTTATTCAGTTTCCAACTTTCACATGCATGTAAGGCAATGGAAAAAAGCATGGCTTGGGTCAGGTGCACTTTAATCTTCAAAGTAAAATCCTTTATTTTCATTTACCCAATGCAATGCATAGCTTGCTGTCTTGGCTGCTGCTTCCATGAACTTTGACTGTGGATTTACACAAGATAAAACCTTGACAAAGAAAGCTTTGAAGAGATATGCCTCACCCAGGGCTTTGGAGTACTCAGGACATTTGCATTCCAAAAGACTTTCCTGTGGGCAAAATTGATAGATTGAACAAAGAGGAACTCTTTGGTTTTGGGAAATCTTGAATTAGTGGTTTTTGTCAGAAGTTGGACAAAATCTGGAACCATGAAGAAAATGCCTCTCTGGGACTGAACGTTAAAGGGAGCCTGTGGTTGAAATGCTTGCTAGGTGACCACCAGGATCTACTTGTTGAGTGGAAGTGGGAGAAATGCAGCAATAAAGAGACGGGTTGACTCTGGTCACTGACATCGTGGACCTGGTTCACAGGAACTAATGGAGAAAATGAGAGCTGGTTGACTTGTTGGAAGTTCTTAACCTAGCCCAAGGACGGTATGTTAGACAGGGTTCTCTAGAGAGATAAAACCAAATTGCTGATAATTAAATATATTTATTTATAAAGATAATTAGATATATAACAAGAAATGAACTGTTAAATGAACTGTTACATCATATACAGATAAATATATAATACAAGAAATGAAGACTAGCAGTCCTTCAAGTCTCATCTGCTGCCAGATCTCCCTCTATTCTGGCTATCTCATCACAGCAGCAAATCACAAGGCAGATCACCAACTGTCAACTAACCACCAGTCCCAACTGCCGGTCCCCAGTTCCAGAGATGTCTTAAAGGGACCTCAACTTACAGCGACACAGTCCACAGGCTAGGCATCCCAGAGGTAGTGTAGCCGATAAATTGAGGCACAGAACAAGCAAGGCAGCCACACACTGGTCCGATGATCAAAGAGCAAGAGACAAGAAAGGCGAGGCTCACCTAGCCATTGTCTCTCCGCCTTTAAGTTAATCCTACTTGTGTTTATCGGCCAGGCTGGCACAATAAACTATCTCAGATGGGTAGGCTTGTTGAGAGTTTGTGATGAACCCATGGCTTAAGCCTTAGACTCTAAGGGAAGGTGACCAATGGGCACCCTGGTGAAGCTAAGTGAGGCAGCCCACATTGAGTTGACCAGAACCCGACGAAAAGAACAGAAGATATTTGAGTATGTGAACTGGTGCAAATTGCTGCAGACTTTATGGACGGCCTGTCCTGATTTGACTTCACTTATGGATTTGGATTTCACCAGGTTCCAACTGGAATGAAGCTTCTTCACGTCAAAAAATATGATTGTCTCCTCAGAGCACTGGGTTGATGTAAGTGGGCAGTATAAAAATTGGATACCCAAAATTGGAGGATAAAGGCATGAAGTGGTTGGCTTACAAACTTTCATAGGTGCTGGGATATATTCATAGGATCAAGGTTATAGGTGTTCCTTAACGGTAATTGTTAGGCATAGGATATTTTTGTTTTGTTCACTTATAGAATATTATGTTTAAATGAGGCTTTGGCACATATTGAATTGTATGTGTTTTAGTTTTATCCTGTTAGGTACAGACATGATTTCATTATTGTTTGTTTGAAAATTATATATGGCTAAAGAGTTATGTGAATGTATCAAATTGACAAGGGGTGGTCTGTGGTAGTTACATAATCTGGTGTCAATTTTAAGATTGGGAGTGAAGGGGTGGAGTCTAGTCTGTCAATTATTGTATAGCCTCAATCAATGAGGCCTCTGTGTGAGCATGGCCTTCTCCTGAGAATTCTGGGTATTTCCTCCTTGGAGGCAGGAGACTCTTTCTCTCTGCTCACTCCCTGGGAGACATTGCAGCTGATAAACCACATGGAACTACACTAGTGTCCCGGAGCTGGAGAAGCCACATGGACCTATTCTGATGCAACCAGACCTCTGAAACCAGAGACGCCACGTGGAGCCCCCTGCCAACACTGAGATGCTTACAACGCCACTGGATCCAAAGCCTTTCTACCCACTGGCCTGTGATCGTCCTGCATTCAGCGTCATTGCATGTGTTTCATGAGTCTGAAGAGGACTTTATAGATTGGTATCAGACACATGGGCTAATAGCAGACTTATGGGCTTGGACTGGACTGGGTTGGGATGCATTCTTAATGTATAATTACCCATTATATAAAACTCTCTTTTATGCGCGCACACACACACACAAAACCCTTGACCATTTTTCTTCATTTATCATGATGTTACCTTGGGGTCCAGTTGTAAGGATTTTGGTCTTCTTTATATTGAATTGTGATCATATTGAAGGCTGTAATCCTTGATCTTCATCAGCAAGTGCTTTGAAACCTCATTTTCAGCAACCAGTTTTGTTATCAGCGTATCATAGGTTATTAATAAGCCTTCCTCTGATCTTGATGCCAAATTCTCCTATATATAATCCAGCTCCTCTGATTATTTTCTCAGCATACAGACAGAATAAATACGGTGAGAGGATACAACCCTGATGCACACCTTTCCTGATTTT